GGGCCAGGAATCTGGGTGCAGCTTCGCTGGGTCCTCTGGCCTGTGGTTTCTCACAGGCCGCTGTCATCCGGGGTTCAGCCGGGGCAGGATCCAGCTGAAAACCAGATAAAATCAGTGCTGTGGGTGGGATTCGGCTCCTTGCGGTTTTGGACGGAAGGCTTTAGTTCTCTGCTCTTTTGGTAGGAGGCCACCCTCGTTCACTGTTCCACCCGCCTCCCTGTAGGTCAGCTCCCTTGTCAGCGGGCTTCATCAGAGTGAGCAAGATGGAGGGCAGAGTCTTTGCAACCTGATGTCAGAACTGGCCTCCCATCGCTTCTGCCTTGCTTACTAGAAGCTGGTTACAGGGTCCAACCCCCACTCAGTGGGAGTGGGTCTCACCAGGGCATGGAGTATGAGGGAGTGGGGGTCATTGGAGGGGGTAGGGGTCATTGGAGGGGGTAGGGGTCTTTGGAGGGGGTAGGGGTCATTGGAGGGGGTGGGGGTCATTGGAGGGGGTAGGGGTCTTTGGAGGAAGTAGGGGTCATGGGACGGACTAGGGGTCATTGGGAGGAAGTAGGGGGTCATTGGGAGGAAGTAGGGGTCATTGGGAGCCACAGAACAAACAGCTCCGTGAGCTGCTGTTCTGATGACCCGGTGACACAGCCTGAATGTGCTTTGAATTTTTGTTAACATTTATTTACTTATTTTTTGAGAGAGAGAGACAGAGAGACAGAGCATGAGTGGGGGAGGGGCAGAGAGAAGAAGACACAAAATCCAAAGCAGGCTCCAGGTTCTGAGCTGTCAGCACAGAGCCCGATGTGGGGCTCGAACCCATGGACCGTGAGATCATGACCTGAGCCAAAGTCGGACACCCAACCGACTGAGCCACCTAGGGGCCCCGAATGTGCTTTGGCAATGACACATTTTAAGGGATTTTTCTGTTCCTGATTCCAACTTTTGTGTGGGAGGGGAGCTTTTTCTCCCATGCTGCTGCTGCTTTTCTCACTGGCCCATACCTGGTCTGACCCATGGCTTCTAGACTGTATCTTGAGCACACATCTGATGTCAAGCACGTGGCCTGGCAGCTGCAGCACAGATCGTGTGTGTGGGTGTTTCCTGGGGAATCAGAGTCATTAATCGCCTCCGGAATCGCTTTTGTTCCAGCCTTTATTTTTTCAAGTTCTAGGACCGGGGTCTCCGCTGAAGTCATTCGAGGGTTGAATCATCATCAGATAGTACGCGGGATCAGCCGTTCTAGGATAAGTGAGCAATATATCCGCCCTTCCTTTAGCTGTGAAGGGCTTTCATTCCCAGATACATGTCCTATTTTATGACATGTGGGTCCACATCTTCTCACAGCAAGAACAGGGCCCTGTACCTTGAAGTAGGGGATACTTACTGGATGGGAAAAATCTATCATTAAACTTTTTTTTTAATGTTTACTTTTGAGAGAGAAAGAGACAGACAGACAGACAAAGCATGATTGGGGGAGGGGCAGAGGGACAGGGAGACCCAGAATCCTAAGCAGGCTCCGAGCTGTCAGCACAGAACCCCATTCGGGACTCGGACTCATGACCCGTGAGATCATGACCTGAGCTGAAGTCGGATGCTTAACCGACTGAGCCACCCAGGCGCCCCTATATCTATCATTATTTTAAAATAGCATCCCCCCCCCCTCCAAGGTTATGGAAAACAAACCAACTCGACATTGAATTAAAGCATTCGGAACAGATACATACATCAAGAGCTCAAATTGTTCTTTGTTTTCACCACCAAAGACCAACCATTCATCCCTCTTCAGAGACTTTCCCTTTTAGTTTTTTTCTACGCGTATACGAGTGTAAATACCCACACGCATTTGTATGAACTTGGCATTGAGCGTCACATGAGGCTTTCTAAACTCTTCCCCCTGTTGAACAATATGGATGGTGGAAATTTTCTCATATTAGTAAAGTGTGATTTTTATGATTTTAATGCATGCGTGGTGTTTTGTTGAAAAAATATACCATTTGATTAAATATTCTCAGATACTGCACATTTTTCATTTCTCACTACTAAAAGTCAGTCTGTGAGCATCTGTTTTTGTTAGGCTGGCTTTAATGACATGCGTATTATTGCTAAGTTTTGTTTTCTGACCTGTCTCCCTCCTTATCCTTGCCTTTGACCCGTGGAAATCAGCCTTCGGGGCAAGTGGACAGGTTCTCCATTCTCCAGAAACCTCCCTAAACTCTTCTAATGCAGCCGTTCTCGCCCTGGGGCCATTTTGCCCCCAAGGGGACATTCGAAAAAGTTGGGAGACATTTTGGTCGTCCCAAGTCAGGGTTGACCTCCTCTCCTAGGTAGAGGCCTCCTCACGAAGAATAACCCACCCCAAACGTTAATTGTGCCGGGGCCAGCAGCTTAGTTCTCATGCAGCCAGATCCTGTCTGGTTATTTGGAAATACCCACCCGGTCACCTGAGGTGAGGGAATGTCAGCTCCACTGTGACACATCTTGGTTTGGTGACTGTTGGCAGTTACGGGCTCACTCACCTCGCTCATCAGCCCTCCCGACGCGTGCGAGCTCTTGGATGGCACTTGGCAGGGACTTGCAGGCAAAGTCCTTCCCTGGCGTGCATCTCTGCCTTCTGGGGGTTTCCTTGGGGGCTCGTGCACTTGTGTCTCTGAAAGGAAGGCTGCCGTCGCCCGCCCTAGTTCTGTTGCGTGCAGATGTTCCACTGCCCTCCCCCGGCCCGTCCCACGCGGAACAATGGAGGCCGATCGGTGCTGTAGATCAGACCCTTGTCATTGTTTGCATAGAAGAGGCCTTTGAACAGGGGCCAGGATGAGACCACGGTGGAAAAAGATGAGGCCCCAAAACAATGCCGCGCAACTGGCAGCTCTCCGTAAACGTACAGCGTGATCTCGCCATCGTATGGGAGCGAGGTAACCTTGTGATGAACCGAGTGGGAGGAAGTGAGTAACGGGAGGAGACAGTCGGTGCAGTGTTTGAATTGGACGAGCCGTCCGCGCCCTCCAGAGCGCCCTTCTCAGTAGAGGAAACTGGGGAGGGGACGCTATTTCCTACGGCTCTGTTGTCAGGCACCGTTCGGGTTCAGGCAAGAGGGGAAAAAAGCCCCGGGATGCTTCCGTGCTCAGGCCCCACGGCTCTCTCTGGCCCGAGTCACAAGCAGGCGTGGGTGTGTGGGATCCGTCAGAGGTGAAGCATGGGCTGCTGCTGCTGGCTTTAGAGACGCAGGTGCCTGTTCGTGGCCGGCGGGCGCTTTTGTGAGCAAGCATGTAGTTCTCAAAGATTATCAGCGATGGGAGGGCCCTTGAAAGCTGTTCTGAAGAAGGAGACGTGCACCACTACCTTGGCCCTGGGCATTTATCTCGTGTTTAGTTAACGCATTCACAGGCGGGCTTTCGGGGTTTTCCCGGGGGAGGAATATTGAGGCATGAGGTGGTAATGGCCATGCTCTGTTCCCTCACCCCTCTCTTCCCCCCCAGGCCCCCCACCCCCGTGGTGGGAGTTCCCGAGGAAGGAGTCACAGAGTAGGAACCAGGGCTGAGAGCCCTTGTTCCCTGAAGCCAGGACTCCTCAGCCTCCGTGCTGTCGGCACTGGGGCCAGATGGTTCTTGGTTGTGGCTGTCCTGTGCACTCTGGGACTCTCAGCAGCATCCTTGGCCTCTGTCCGCTGGATGCCAGGAGTAGTCACCCCCTCGTTGTGACAACCAAAAAGGTCTCCAGATACTGCCCCATGCAAAATCCCCTCCATTGAGAACCACTGGGCCAGGCCTTGGTCCCCACACACGGTGCGGTTGAGGGACGCACAGAGTTACCGTCACCCTAGCGGGCTGATCACGCTGAGTGGGCGTTTTCTGTGTGTCTGGCCCTTGGCTGCGTGCTCTGTGTAGGTGACTTCGTTTAAGCCCAACAGCCTGCGTGGTAAGAGTTGTTCCTGTTTTACAGATGAGAGAACTGAGGCTTAGAGAAAAGAAGCAGCATGTCCCGAGTGCACACAGCTGAAAGCTGGCGTCGGGTCTAAGCCTTCGACGCCTGGGCTGTGGTGTTATCTACCACCACCCCCCCCCGCCCCGAAAAGCTGGTCAGTGTGAACAAAGATCTGGGTCATTTGATGGCTTGCAAGTCCTCAAGTAGACACGGGTCTGGAATGATCGGGATTAGCAGTTCTCAGTGAAGGCAGTTTGCTCCCCAGGGGACATTTGTTTATGTCTGGAGATATTTGGGCTGTCCCCATGGGGGTGTGGCCGACCTCTAGTGGGGACGGGCCAGGGACGCTGTAGAAGGTCCTGGAATGCACAGGCCAGCCCCCACGGCAAGGAATTCCCCAGCCCATATGTGGACAATGCCAAAACTGAGAACCCCACTCTGGGATAAGTACCTTACTTCCCCATCTTTTTGGGTAGACCACAGTTGGGTGATCCTGGCAGTCCTGCGTGTAAATTAAAGATGATCTTACGGGGGCGCCTGGGTGGCTCAGTCGGTTAAGCATCCGACTTCGGCTCAGGTCATGATCTCGTGGTTCGTGGGTTCGAGCCCCGCGTCGGGCTCTGGGCTGACGGCTCAGAGCCTGGAGCCTGCTTCGGATTCTGTGTCTCCCTCTCTCTCTGCCCCTCCCCCGCTCACGCTCTGTGTCTGTCTCTCAAAACTGAATAAACATTTAAAAAAAAAAAAGACCTGGGGGCACCTGGGTGGCGCAGTCGGTTAAGCGTCCGACTTCAGCCAGGTCACGATCTCACGGTCCGTGAGTTCGAGCCCCGCGTCGGGCTCTGGGCTGATGGCTCGGAGCCTGGACCTGTTTCCGATTCTGTGTCTCCCTCTCTCTCTGACCCTCCCCCATTCATGCTCTGTCTCTCTCTGTCCCAAAAATAAACGTTGAAAAAAAAATTAAAAAAAAAAAAAAAGACCTTACAGCATGCGAGTCTGTTTCTGCTGAGATAGTAATAACTTTAAAAACAAACTTCTGAAATCCTTTTGATCTTTCTTTCCTCATTTAATGCTTTTCCAAACGCTTTGAGTTTTCTTCTATTTTCTGTGGCCTTTGCCCCCAAGTGAGCGCCGCGCCCCCCTCCACCCCCTTCTGGCTTTTTATCTTTGGCCAAGTGACAAAACATCGGCGTCCGCTGAGTTTGTATGCCATCTGTCATGGGAGGTGGGCACTGGAGCAGAAAGCGGGTGTTCCTCTTGGGTATTCATTCTGCCTGGCCCCCCCCCCCCCCAGGATGAGTCAACGGGAGAGATCACGTTTTACATGAAGGGAGCGGATGTTGTCATGGCTGGGATCGTGCAGTACAATGACTGGCTGGAGGAAGAGGTACGTGGGGTGTGGGGAGCGAGAACCGCAGAGGCATGTCTTGGAGGCCTTGCGTGGTGTGGTAACGGGTCTCTGTGCTCGTTGTCTGTGGCTGTGTAACACATCACCCCCAAACGTAGCAGCTTAGAACGACGCAGTTTTATTTCTCATGGATTCTGTGGGCCAGGCATCTGTCCACAGCTTGGCCGGCCGTCCTTTGCAGGGTCTCTCAAGCAGTTGCTTGGGACTGGGGTCTCATCTGAAGGTTCAAGCGGGGCAAGGCCCACGTCCAGGCTCAAGAGTCCGCCCCTCACTGGTTTTTGGCTGGAGGCAGGTAGCAGGAGGGTGGGGATCCTTGAGGGTCCGCGTCACGGGCTGCCTATCTTGATTGGTGATGTGGAGAATTGGCCACAGCAAGGAGAGAAGAAACTCTTGGGTTTGTCGGGTCATTTTTCTTTTGTCTCTCAGCTCCAGGTCGGGGGGCGGGGGGGGGGGGGGAGGCACAGTTTCCATTCAGGAATGTTATATTTTCAGGTAGAGGGTTTGCAAACTCAAAGGAGGGGCTGGGCGGGTAAGTCAGATAAAACAGGCTGGGGGGCGGGGGGAGTCTTTCCAACAGGGTCGCACTTTGTGTGTTAAGCCTATTGGAATATTCTTCACCTGACAGCTGTTTTCTGGGAATACGTAGAAGCAGCTGCTTTTCATCCATCATTGGCTGTGGTCTTTTGGGAGAGCATGCATGGTTGTGTCAGAGGTTTGGTTTTTTCCCAACAAGACAGATCCAGGTTTGTCTGTGAAGTCTTACAGTGTTGACTTAGCTTTTGAAACATGTACTGTGCCCGTTAAAGAAGACCTATGCGTAGACCATGGTTGGCCTGCAGGCTGCCGTGTTGCAATCTCCCTTTAGAAGGTCTGCTTCAGGGAAGGTTGCTTTAGGGGAAAGCGATGTTTGGATTGGCCAGTTTGTCTCTGCCCCTGGTAGGGGCCTGTCCACGTTAGCGTCCAGCCTTCCTCCGCGAGAGTCAGGGGCTCGGAGGCAAGGCCCTGAGTGTGGCTCTCCACCGACTGCGGTCTGCTTTTCAGTGTGGAAACATGGCCCGAGAAGGACTGCGGGTTCTCGTGGTGGCGAAGAAGTCTCTAGCAGAGGAGCAATATCAAGACTTTGAGGTAAGTGGTCCTGTGATCTTTCCATTGTGTTTTGCAGTTTCCGTACGTCTTCCCCTCTCTGGCTCTATCTCCTCTTCGTCTGCCCCTCGCTGAGTCTGCTCTAGCCATGCCGATGTCCTTTCTGAGCACCCCAGGCTCACTTCTGTCCCAGGGCCTTTGCACTTGCTGTTCTCTCTGCCTGGAACTCCTTTCCTGCACAGACCTCCCTGGCCTGCTCCCTCGCTTCCTTTGGGTCTCTGCTCAAATGCCGCCTCCTCTGAGAAGTCTTCCCGGACTCCCCATCTAAGGCAGCCCCACCTCACCACTCGCCGTCCACCACCCCGCTTAGCTTTCTTCACTGCACTAATCACCATCTTGAATGGACTCGTTTATATGTTTACATCTAACATTCTTCTTAATACCCCCTTTCGGGAATAAAATCTTTTCTAGAGCAGAGGCGGTCAGTCGGGTTTGCTGTCACATCCTAACATTTAGGGTGGTCACTGGCACATAGTTCGCCCTCTGGAAAATTTGAAATGAATCACCCCCTTGGAGCCCTCAGTTTTCTGAGCTGTAAAAAGAGTTTAACTAGATCGTTGACTTTCACGGCTTAGGGGCTCCAGCGTAAATATGCCTGGTTTATCGTCCTCTTGTCCCGCGGATTGCATGTTCCTTGAGGGGAAGGGCCCTTGTATCCCTAGGCCTGGCACAAAGCGAAGTGCATGCATGTGCGTAGGACCGAAAGGGAGAGACAGGTGTTTGGGGACAGGCTTCTGGGGTCCTTGTCATGCTTCACCCAGAGAAGCTGTGCTTGATGGTGTCTCTCCCATGTGCTTGAGTTCTTTGTAGAGTTTTCTTTAGCAAGAGTTCCGGCCCTGATAAATTCTACTGTCTTTTCATGTTTAAAGGCCTGTGTTTGAATCAGCTCCTTAGGGGATTCTTGATTTTCTTCCATGTCTTTACCACCCCTGGAATGTGGCTAAACAGAAGGGTTGGGTCGGTGGTCTTTGGAGGTGGGACTTCGTCTTCAGAAAACCCAGTGATCAGGGATTCTTGGTCACAAAGTGCACGTTGTGTGTGGGAGATCTTGAGGGTACCAGTCCTTGTAACAACCCAGCGAGGTGGGGGCTGTTACTGCTGCTTCCTGGGTGAAAACAGCTAAGGCTCAGATAAGTCGAGCAACTTGTTGGAAGTTGCACAGCCAGGTAAGTGTCGAGGAAAGGGTGGAGTCAGGGCCCGTCTGAGGTCTGGGCTGATCAACTTGGAAGGAGGCTGGGAGCCTCGGTTCATCCCTTTGAGGTCCAGCCACGCGCCGGGGTCCCCCCTTGGGGTCCTACTCCTGACGGCGGTCAGCCCGGCCCCCTCCCCACCGCCAGCAGTGACCGTGTGTCCCCTGCCGTGTCCCAGGCCCGCTACGTCCAGGCCAAGCTGAGCGTGCACGACCGCTCCCTCAAAGTGGCCACGGTGATCGAGAGCCTGGAGATGGAAATGGGGTTGCTCTGTCTCACGGGGGTGGAGGACCAGCTGCAGGCGGACGTGAGGCCCACCCTGGAGACCCTGAGGAACGCGGGCATCAAGGTAGGGAGCGCCCGCCCGGGACCCGGCCGCTGAAACGGCCGCCGCCTTGTGGGAGCGAGCTTCAGAATCATCCTGCCGCGGGTGTAGAGACGAGGAGGGGAGGGGGGCGGGGGGAGCGAGGGAGGAACGAGGATGGGCAGCGACCCAGAGCCCTGTCTCACCTGGACCTCTGCGTCCCTCCCGCTCCTCCAGCCCTGCCCCGAAGGCCACACCGGGCCCCCCGAAGGCGCGGCTGCGTGCAGCTCCGTATCCCTCAGGGCCAGGCTGTGTGTCCAGATGCTCGGGGTGTTCAGTACCTTCTCGCTGAGTGACCGGACGGCCAGCCGTCTGCTGCTGTTCTGGGTGAATGAGTGACCGCCCGCACCTCAAACTGCCGTATTTATTACGCTGTTTGGGGCCCAAAAGAGAAAGAAAAAAAACCCAACCTGACAATCCGGTAGTTTCATCCGGAGAGGCCAGTAGAGGGCGTCGGAGGAGCAGGCTACGCCTCAGAGGACCCCAGCCGAACAGCCTGACTGGCTGGAAGCTCCTGGAAACGTGTCATGTTTGCCCAGAAGCAGCTCTCCCTTGTGTCCCCCGCCAGTACGCGGCACAGGCTCCTGTGAGCGGGGCCACAGTAGGGGCCGAGCTCCGGCCACATGAGCGGGGAGGGCGCACGTTTCACCGTGAACTGGGTTCTGTCACGTGTCCTTGGCCCCCAGACCTGGTCCCTGGCGAGGGAGTTGTCAGCCACGTCCCAGTTTCGGAAGAGCCGTCCGAAGTCGGAAGGGCTGGTGCTTAACTTTGTCACTGGCAACTTCTGAGGCCGCTTCTCTCCGGGTCGTGGAATATTCTGGTTCCTGCTTCTGGCTTCATCCTCAGCTGCTCCTCCCCGAGGCCTCTGTCTCCAGAAGGAGGGGTGTTTTGTTCCCACTGTGGACTGGACTTCTCTTCCTGCTTTCCCTGGTCAGACGGGAGGGGGAAGGGAGCACAGGGGCGAGGCGTCCAGGGACTCTGTATAGGTGCGGTCTGGCGGAAAGCTCTTTCACGGGCCGGAACGTGTCGGAACTTGGACAATGGCTACTTCAGCCCCTTCCCAGAGGCAGCAGGCGGGGCCAGGCGAGGCAGGAAGGTCCTAGGGCTCGGGCCTGGGCACTCACCCACACGTGCCCCCCTGTCGTCCCCTCGTGGGACATCAGTCATGTGGTGCACCAATGACTTTCCATGGGTTTCTAGAACTTGAGCCTCCCAGCTCCGTTCCCGGTGTTTGCTTTCATACAGCAGACCCTGAAAACTGGCACCAAGCTGGGGTCGCTTAAAAGGATATTATCTTTATGGGTGGATGGGACGTTGAGAGGAGGGGCTGACAGCCACCAGGGGCCCGGCCAGGGGCAAGGGCCCCCAGAAGGGCCCGCCTGTCTCACTGCCTGGGCTGGAATCTGATTTCTCCACCGACTGCCTCGGGGATCCTTGGCAAGTGGCTTCTCGGCGCTCCGTGTCCTGCCTTATAAAGTTACCGTGAAGGCCACGTGTGCTAAACGTGGACAGTGTTTGATGGGTACCTAGCACGGTGAACGCTCGGGAAACCGTTGGTCTTCTCCTTCCTGTGCCTCCCCACTGCCAGCATGCGCTTCGTCCAGGGACTCTGGGAGAACACACGGCTGACGTGTGGACTTAGCAGAGCAGGAAGCGTATTCCGCTTACACTTGGGAGACCTGGATTCTGGGCCTGGTCGGGACCGGAACTAGCTGTGTGGCTTTGGGGCAAGCCGCTCCCCTCTCTGGGCTCACGGCGGCAAAATGCAGAACGTCTTAGGAGGTGTGGAGGAGCCTGGCGCATTGACCGTTGGCTTAACCGACCGCGTAGAAAGACCGGATGCGACGTGATAAATCAGTGTTTCCTGTAGGACCCGGAAGTGACCCCTCCCCCACACCGCCTTTCCCTTCTTTGAGATTATTTATTGCCTTAAGAGAGATTTCCGGAATCTCTCTTAAGGGGGATTATGAGGTCAGAGGCCAAGCTTCGTGGTGTCTGTTGAAGCACATGGGCAAATGCTTCTCTGCAAGTATTGTACCAGCCTTTGCTGCCACCAGCAGTGGTTCCTTGGGGGTCCTCGAGCCCCCCCAAGTGGGGTATCCCCGTGGTTTGTGCTGGGGACACCGGGAGCCTTGAGGTAAATGGAATGAATCAAGTTTAGCTCGGTGTTCTTGGGGACCGGGGCTGACACGGGCTCCGGGCTGGCCTTGACCACTTACAAAGAGGAGCCCCCCCCTCCCCCCCACTGTGCTGCGATTCCAGGTTTGGATGCTGACGGGGGACAAGCTGGAGACAGCCACATGCACAGCCAAGAATGCACATCTGGTGACCAGAAACCAAGACATCCACGTTTTCCGGCTGGTACGGTGCTCTCTGTGTTGGGGCCTCGTGGGGGTGACGCTACAGTTTTGCCCTGTGACCTCATGACCTTGAGTGGACCCCTAAAGTATAGAGGGGAAAACTTACAGCACTGGTTTGGGTGGGATTACTGAATGACCCAGGTGGGGCTACAGGATTCCTCCTGGGGGTGGTTCAGCAGCACCTCGTTACTGCTGTGTTCTTAACCTGGCGGGGGTCATGGTCCCTTTGAGAAGCTGTCAAAAAGCACAGTCAGGACGAAGGACGCAGATGAGCCCATACATGTGAAATTGCACACACGAGTCCAGATTCCACTGAAGCCTTGAAGGCCGAGTCCTTGGATGAGAAAAATTTCCAGATCACAGACATTGGGCTGTCTGCCCTCCTGAAGGAAAACCTTTAGGAGCCTTTAGAAGGAGGTATATTGGGTGGGCAAGCGAGCAATTTCTTGCCCTGGCGGCAAGCACTTGACCTCAACAGGGCAGGCATGAGGAGGTGCCCTAAGGCCAGGAGCCAAGACTGGCCTGACCGGGTGGGGAGGTGAGTGCCACTCTGTAGGCGGGACACAGCAGTCCTGCTCCTGAGGTCGGAGCCCCCATACCCAGTGAGTGGAGAGGCTCCCGCCTTTGGTCCCTGCCACGCAGAGCCTTCAGGAGACGCAGCCATTCTGACAACAGCACAAACAGCATCGTGTGGAGGCACATACGGTCAGTCTCCATTATACGCGGACTCCATGTTTGCAAATTCACCTAGTTACTAAAATTTATTGGTAACCCCCAAACCAGTGCTCCGGGTGCTTTCAGAGTCCTCTGTGGGCATGTGCAGAGCAGCGAGAAATTGTGGCTGCCAAATGTGTGCACCATTCCCAGCTGAGGTCAAACAAGGCGATCCCCTGCCTTCTCCGCTCTCGTGCTACACAGAAGCCCAGTTCCCGATCTACTTAGTGCCGCCTTTTTTTTTTTTTTGCATTTTTGTGTTAGTGATTTCATTGTTTAAGATGCCCCCCTCCCCATCACAGTGCTGGAGTGCCATCTAGCATTGCTGAGCTCGGGAAGGCTATGATGTGCCTTGTGGAAAGAGTATGTGTGTTGGATCACCTTCCTTTGGGCATGAGTTATAGTGCTGTTGGTTGTGAATTCAGTGTTAATGAATCAAAAAAAAAAAGTCTATTTTAAAAGATGTCTTTCAACGGAAACACATATAAAACAAGGTTATGTGTTGATTGACAAAAATACTGTGGCCAGAGGCTCACAGGAACCTGGCCCCGTATTCCACCTACAGGAGCAACGAACAGATAGTTACTTGTTAAGTCGGTGTTCACAGTGACCTCATAGAGCGTAGCTACTGAAAATAACAAGGACAGACCGTATGTTCTTTATGTTCTGTATTCTATGCATTCTGTATAGTTAGGGGTTACAGGTGCCAGCCCGTGTGGCCGTCTGCTTTTGTAAATAAAGTTTTATTTACACACAGATATGCCCATTTGTTTTCACCTAGTGCCTCTGGCCGCTGTGATGCCACGGCAGCAGAGTTGAGTAGTTTTTTTTTTTTTTTAATTTATTTTTTTAACGTTTATTTATTTTTGAGACAGAGAGAGACAGAGCATGAACGGGGGAGGGTCAGAGAGAGAGGGAGACACAGAATGTGAAACAGGCTGCAGACTGAGCAGTCAGCACAGAGCCCGACGCGGGGCTCGAACTCACGGACCGCGAGATCGTGACCTGAGCCGAAGTCGGACGCTCAACCGACTGAGCCACCCAGGCGCCCCAAGAGTTGAGTAGTTTTGACGAACACGGTAGGGTCCACAGAGCCTGTTTGACATCTGGTCTAGTACAGAAAAGTTGGCCACCCTGCCAGATGCCTGGCTGCTGACGCCTGCCCCACGGCCCCCTGGGTGTGTGGCTTTAGAGGGGCTCACACAGCTCGCCACGCCTTCGTTTCCTTACGTGTAGAGTCCAGCCTTGGCCGTCGCGCACCTTGTAGGGTTGCTGGGCGAGGTCAGTGGGGACGATCCACAAAAAGTGCTTAGCGCGGTGCCTGGCACTCAATGAAAGTACGGTCATTTTTAGCTCCTGTTTTTATGCTGTGGGTCACAGCCGTCCTGGGGGAAATGCAAGGTGATCGTTGGTGCACAGGCCCTCCCGATTCCCACAGAATCATAACAAACAGGATTGAATTTGGCTCTGGGTCTGCCGGCAGGGGAGGGGCAGGGGTCCTTGGCTGGGGTGGCCATTGTCTCCGGACCGGCTTCAGGAAGCCACTGTTTGTTGTTCTTCCATCTCCGGAGAGCGGGGCCCCCTCCACGCCTGTGTTCCCTTCCAGGTGACCAACCGGAGTGAGGCCCACCTCGAGCTGAACGCTTTCCGCAGGAAGCATGACTGTGCCCTGGTCATCTCGGGGGACTCCCTGGAGGTGGGTGCGGGGGCCCCCGCCGGCCGGGCTCTCCCGGGGAGCGCGCGCCCCTCCCTGCTCTGGTGGGGGCCGCGGCCTTGGTTGACAACCCACCCCCCCCCGCCTTCCCCTCCCAGATTTGCCTCAAGTACTACGAGTACGAGTTCATGGAGCTGGCCTGCCAGTGCCCGGCTGTCGTCTGCTGCCGCTGCACCCCCACCCAGAAGGCCCAGATCGTGCGCCTGCTCCAGGAACGCACGGGGAAGCTCACCTGTGCGGTAGGTAGGTGCCGCCCCTGCCCCCCACTGGCCCCGTCCCGCTGGCACGTGGATTTGCTTTGTAAGGGTAACGGGGACCCTGCTGCAACTCAGATCCCCTGGGCCATGTTCCTTGGGTTGTGATTCTTTCCCCCAGCCGACGCGGGCTCCGGAATTCATATGATTATGATTATTATTTTTTTTAGTATTTCCCTTTGGGTTAGAGTCGATAAGCGTGTTCTAGGGCTTTCCTCCACGGCTTGCTCTCCTTTGCTAGTGATGCAGGAGGCAGCACAGCCGAGGGCTGGAGGCCGCACGCTGTGGAGGGGACCCGGGTTCCCAGTCCGAGCTGGTTTTACTCGCTGGGCGCCCGTCTGAGCCTCGGTCTGCCCGTTGGTAGGATGGGGTAATAAGCACTCATCCAGTGGTGAGGGTGGAAAGGGGTGGATTCAGAAAGCGCTTACGACAGGGCACGGTGTGCGTTGAGCAAGTGCGGCGTGGGTCACTGCTGCTGATGTGATGTGGGGCCCATGCGCCCCACAGGCAGGGGTGTGGTGGTCGTAGACAGCGGTGAGGCGTGGACACGGCCCCCCCCCCCCACTGCCACTCGGCGGCCGGACTCTGGCCAGTCACCCGGTGTCCCTCTGACGCTCAGCTCCTCCGCCCGTGAGACTGGGGGGTGTCGGAGCAATTACGTGGAGCCGCGCAGAAGGGACACTTAGCGAGCCCTCAGCGAAAGGCGAGACACGCGCGAGTCTTCAAAGTAAGAATGACGTGTCGGGATCCCGCTTCTCACTTCCACCCAATTTCCCGGCTTTTCTCTCCGGCCCATGTGGCTGACAGGTGACGGAGGCAATGACGTCAGTATGATTCAGGAATCTGACTGCGGTGTGGGGGTTGAGGGGAAGGTGAGTGCGGGCTGTGGGGGGTGGGGTGCTGCTGGCCGTGGAGGGGTGGGTGCTGGGGGTGGGGCTGCCGTGCCGAGGGCTGCTCTGCCTCCCTCGCGGGAGTTTCTTTTTCCCTCGAGACACAGCTCTGACGCTTCTGAAAACTCGAGATTAGAATGACGAAGCATAAGGAACCATGTCACGGAATTGCCTGGCGTTATTACCTGGGGGTCAGAGGTCCGTGTCACCGTATCTTACGGACGACGATGCTGGTTTTCCGCGTGTCAAAACTTGAATTAAACACACAAAAAAGAGTGTTTTGCTGTGTTGTTAGGGCACAGTGAATGCACTTCAGGCTTTTGCGTGGTGGCTGCAGCGTCCGTAAAAGCATCGGTCGCCACGCCCCGTGCTCACGTCTGGGGTGTCGTGGAGGGAGGTGACACAGTGTGCGGCTCAGAGGCCTCGGCAGCTGCAGTGTCTCACGAAGTTCGTGTGCTATGACGCAGCTGTTTCCTGCCCTTGTCACGCGTGTGCTTGTCCCGCAGAGTTGGCTCTGTCCTGAGTTGTGACCTCTAAATGGCTACGGGCAACATTGGTTACCAGGCTTGTTGGAACTGTGTGTGAAGTAAGAGTCCAGAGGCCCCGAGGGAGGGCCGGAGGCTCTGTCCTGTGCGTTCGGTCCCATAGCTTCACAGATTGGGCTGACGCATACGCTTTAAAAATTTTCTTCTCTCCACCCTTTCTGGTTTTGTGGTGCTCATCCAGTTGACAGTTATTCGAAGCTGCAGGATTCGGTGATCTTTGGGATGTTCCTGGCGGGGGCCTTTTTTTTTTTTTTTTTTTTTTTTTTTTCAACATTTATTTATTTTTGGGACAGAGAGAGACAGAGCATGAACGGGGGAGGGGCAGAGAGAGAGGGAGACACAGAATCGAAAACAGGCTCCAGGCTCCGAGCCATCAGCCCAGAGCCCGACGCGGGGCTCGAACTCACAGACCGTGAGATCGTGACCTGGCTGAAGTCGGACGCTTAACCGACTGCGCCACCCAGGCGCCCCGGAACGGGCCCTTTTAACGCAGGTGTGGCCCCTTAGTGGCATCCATCACGCATCCTTTCCAATTAGAGAATTCCATTCCACGGTGGCACTTCTATGAATGTGCAAAGTTGTACGCTCAGGAATGTTCCGTTTGGGATCGTTAGTAGCCTCAGCCCCCCACCCACCCCAGGCTTCCATTTCACTTCAAGGGTCTGAGTGCCTGTCTCTGAGGATTCTTTGCTTCTGATACACATTATGGGGTGGGCCTACCCCCCCCCCCCGCCCCAGAGGCTTAATACCAGATCCATTTGACCTCCGAATTATCACAATCTGTGATTCAGACTGTTTTTTATTTAAATACATTCCTCTTTTTAAATCAAATTTAGTCTTGGACCACCAACCGAGTACAGCGTGAAACCAAAGAAGCTCTTTATCAAAGTTTTCCAAAGATCTCCTTACAACGTCTTGCTTTTTTCAATTAAAAGAGAAAAAAATGTGTTTGCCTTGACCTCCGGTCCTCCTGACGGTGCCCAATTTTATTCGATTTTAGGAAGGAAAACAGGCTTCCCTGGCTGCAGACTTCTCCATCACCCAGTTCAAGCACCTTGGCCGGTTGCTCATGGTGCACGGCCGGAACAGCTACAAGCGGTCAGCTGCCCTCAGCCAGTTCGTGATTCACAGAAGCCTCTGCATCAGCACCATGCAGGTGGGTGGGCGGCGGGACCTCCGCACGGGCCACGTGGCCATCCTGGAGAAAGCCCAGGAACGAGGCTGTGCTTTCGAGCTGTTACCCCACCTGGCCGGTTTCTTTCTTTCTTGACTTAATTATTTTTCCCACCCGGCGAGTTTAAATCCCAAACCGGGTTGACCTTGGATTGTCACAGATCCTTCCCTTGATAGACAGTGCGGGTCATCCTTGCTGCGGGGGAGCAGATGCAGGCATTAACACCAGTGCCTGCCCAGCGCTTGGCATAAAGGAGATGCGGTGTAAATGCCCAGAGGTGTTATGATCAGTTTGCCAGAGAGAAAAATGCAGAGAGGTCAGTGCTGGTCGGCCAGCAGAGAAGAACCACCGAAGAATAACTTGCTTTTCTTGAGCACTTCCTGTACGCTGGGCATCAGGCTCAGTGTTCACCATGCAAGTGGCTCACGCGGTCCTCACAGTCGCCTGCGCCCATTTTACAGATGGGGAGTCTGAGGCTAAGTGAGGGGGAGAGACGTGCTGCAGGGTCCCTCGGGGGTTTAGACTGCAGTGGCGCGGGGATTCCAGAGCCCGTGTTCTTCATCACGGTGTCTCCTTGGGTGCCCTCGATACGGGGAGGCCGGTGCTGCCTCCGCTTGCAGGGGCTCCCAGGTGGGGCGGCCTGGCCCATGGCCCTGGGGGGCGTCTGATATCACAGTTCTTCCTTCTGCCATCCCTGGTGGGAGTGGAGCTTCGTTACCACGACTGTTCGTCTTCTCGGGAATAACGTCTCACGCCCATCTTTTCCTCACAAAAAGATTCTAGAGTATTTTCCCACCTCCTGTCTCCCCAGCTCCTTTAAACATCTGTCATCAGGCTGTAGCAATTAAGTGCATACCGGGAGGAAGGCCAAAGGGTGGGAAAGAAACTATTCTGGGTGTTGAAACACTATTGACTGATTCTCCTCCGTGGACACTTAGGTGAAAACACCCCCATTAAGCGGAGAGAACATAGGGGTGATGTGTCTTGCCACCCACCTCCCTTTCTGACCCCCCCCCCCCCACTATGTGTCTCTGAGACTTTGAGCAAGTCGCTTTCCCCCTCTGGGCCTCAGTCTACCGTTTGTGACATGGGGATGGTAAGATGTGTCTTGCCTCTCGGCCAAGGCCACTTTGAGAAGCAGAGTTTTCTAAGGCATCGAGTGCTGAAGGCATCCTTACTGCTGTTAATCAAAACAAAACAGGGAGATGTGTACCGTAAGGGGACATTTTAATCTGTGGGAAAGGAGCTTAATCACAACATAAAAGATCCTGCCTTTCCAAGTAAGTGCACATGAGGCCTCCCCTCCCTCTTCTTTCTTTTTTAAAAACTTTTTGAATTTTTTAAATGTTTATTTTTTGAGAGAGAGAGAGTGTACGAGCAGGGGAGGGGCAGAGAGAGAGGGAGACACAGAATCTGAAGCGGGCTCCAGGCTCTGAGCCATCAGCACAGAGCCCAGTGTAGGGCTCAGACTCATGAACTGCGAGATATGACCTGAGCCGAAGTCAGACACTGAACCAGCTGAGCCACCCAGGTGCCCCTGATTTTATGTTTTCAGTATCTGTTGCATTTGAGAGCATAGAAGCCTTCAAGTGATTTTTATCAACATGATCAAAATAGCTGTTATGATTCATCAGACCACATCTGTACTGTACTTTTTTTTTTTTAAGTGTATTTATTTATTTATTGAGAGAAAGAGCGCACGCACAGCCTGCAAACCAGGGAGGGGCGGAGAGAAAGGGAGAGAGAGATGCAAACCAGGGAGGGGTAGAGAGAAAGGGAGAGACAGAATCCCAAGCAGGTTCCGCACTGACAGCACGGAGCCCTGATGCGGGGCTCGAACCCATGAACCGTGAGATCATGACCTGAGCGGAAATCAAGAGTCGGACGCTTAGCTGCCGGGCCCACCCAGGCGCCCCAGACCACATCTGTGCTTTTAATTTAGGTTAGCTCATGAATCACACTGGATATTACTATGATTTAATCACTGGAAGATTAATCAGCTTGTCTGTGGCCATGCACACAAGAGCTGGCCTGGATGAGCTGACTTCAGTAATGTCTGTATGTTACTATGAGCCTCAGTTTAGAAAAAAATTCCAGGATGAGAAATTGTTCTTCGTGCTGTGGGAAAATGCGTTCACCCCTGTCCACTGTGCTGAAAGTGATTGGCTAAGAGCAAGTCCCTGTTAGGACTGCACTCTGACATTGTTCTCTTTGATAGATGTGGCCACAGTGGTTTATTTTCCCTAAAGTGTTCTCTCCAAGATGAAGAAGGCTTTTGGCCAGCCAGGCCCTTTTAGGGGAAGGAGGCTCTTGACCTTGATTTGCAAAACTACGCACCAGATTCTTGACTTTTTTACAAACGTCCTTTCTGTGCCACGGCCCCGCCTGGGTGAAAAGTCATTTGAAAGGTGGCTGTCACCTTTCAGTTCTGAAATATGACCAGGGGGTGCAGCTGGGGCTGCCCAGGACCGCGGTCCCGGGTGGCACCTGCATTTGGAGCTCCGTGCCAGGTCAGCACCCAGAGCGGGTGCTGAAGGGGAGATGCCTCCAGTGAGACACCCTTGCTAATGGCCAGCCTGCGTCTGCCTCTTGTACTTAGTCTTTGAAAAGCCTTCAGTTGTTGCCGGCCTCTTTTTGGTTTTCCGCTCACAGGAATTCGCTTTGAGGCCGCTTTCCTTCTGTTAGCCTGTAGGTGTCCAGAGAAGGACCTAACAGAGCATCAAGTCAGATTTTATCTCCTCAGCCTGTTTTTCACTGCCAGTAGCTAATATTTTCCAAACCAGGAAGTAGATATTTCAGTAAAGGTTTGGAAATGCTGCTCTTGTCTAATTGCAAAGGTGTTCCTGGTTGTGGGCTCTTCGTAAAAGTTTCCCAGAATTGTAAAAGGTGTCATGTGAGAAGGGAAGCCTTGTCTGTAACCCCGCCCTCCGGGGTAACGGGTGCCCATCCTCATGGCGCAGGTGTCTCTGTCTGTTTCCATACCTCTGCTAACTTGTTTCTTGGGCGCATGCCCAGAGAGGCGGTGCTTCTGAGCTGTCAGGAGCGCGGGCTCTGGAGACAGAGCTGGGTTTAACCCTGCAGTGAAGTTTACCTGCTCAGATTCCCCGTCTGTGAAAGGCAGGTGATATTAGGACTTGATCTCATGGGCGGTTCTGGAGATTCACAGAGGTCATGGAGAGAGTGCCCCTGGGTGTAGCCTGTGTAACTCAGTGTTCACAAGGGGGCTGAGCGTGGTCTCTGGAGCTAAACTACCTGGGAACGACTCCTGGCTCTATCACTGGTGAGCTGTGTGATTGTAGGCGAGTCACTTAACCTCTTTGTGCCTTACTCTTCTCCTCTGTAAATAGGGGTTGATGACAACAGTACCTGTCTCATGAGGTGCTTGTAATTGTTAAATGAGCTGATTTACTCAAAGCACTCACAACTGTGTCAGGAAAGCTTGTGCTATGTTAAGGTTGGGGTGTTGTCATTATATAAAGGTAGGGCCTTTGTCAGTGATTTTTGGTAACGTCTTCCTTTCTCGTTGGCACAGGCTGTCTTTTCCTCTGTGTTTTACTTTGCATCGGTTCCTCTCTACCAAGGATTCCTCATCATTGGGTAAGGAAAGCTAGTCAGGGTTATTAACTTTTTATGAAACCTCCCTAACATACCAGAGGAGAGAAGAAACATTGTGTCTCGACTGTTCAGCCCCGGAGTTGCCCGGGATGCACTTGAGAACCTAACTTGGATTTTTATTTGCAATGTTTTTGGTGTTTTTTTTTTTTTTTTAAATTTATTTTTGAGACAGAGAGAGACAGAGCATGAGCAGGGGAGGGGCAGAGAGAGAGGGAGACACAGAATCCGAAGCAGGCTCCAGGCTCCAAGCCATCAGCACAGAGCCCCACACGGGGCTCAAAGCCCCAAATGTGAGATCATGACCCGAGCCGAAGTTGGATGCCCAACCGACTGAGCCCCCCAGGCGCCCCGGATTTTTATTTTTGAATGGCTCAGCCTATACCCAGACTGAGAAAGTGGAGCTCGGTGGGCTTGTGGTTCACAGCGCTCAGCGGTTTGGACCTGGAGGGGGGAGAATGCTTGCCCATGAACGTCCGAGCTTATTGGTGATGGCGACCAAAGCAAGATCGAAGGTTCCCAGACTCAGTGATTTCATTGGGGTCTTAGAAAAAGGGGAAAGACGTGTCTGGAAAGTACCCTCCCTGACGTGGACCCGGTAGAATGTCCTGCTGCTGGGTCTCTCGGGCGGGCCAGAGCCTTGCTGTCCCGGGAGATGTCCCTAGCAGAGCCTGACTGCTGTGTGCCAGTGACCTGTCAGACAGGGGTCACGTGGACATTTGCTGCCATCGGCTCCACCCCCATTCCTGACTCGGAACTCATGACGTTCCTTTTGATCCTTCAGAGAATGTTCTCAGTGTTTGAGTCACCCAGGTAGGTGGATTGGGTGACACGTGTCCTAGATAGAGACGTGTGTAGGGCACATGCCTGGGTAAGGAGGCAGGAAGCACAGAAAGGCTGGCTGGTCCCAGGGGAGAGTCTCACAATTCTGCCTGCTTCTTTTTTTTTTTTTTTTTTAATTTTAATTTTATTTTTTATTAAAAAAAATTTTTTTTTAATGTCTATTTATTTTTGAGACAGAGAGAGACAGGGCATGAACGGGGGAGGGTCAGAGAGAGAGAGGGAGACACAGAATCCGAAACAGGCTCCAGGCTCTGAGCTGTCAGCACAGCTCGAACCCACGGACTGTGAGATCATGACCTGAGCCGAAGTCGGCCGCTTAGCCAACTGAGCCACCCAGGCGCCCCTAACTGTCCTTTGTCAGGTCCCAGAAGAATGAAAGAACCTGCCAGAACGTAGGGGCTCCCTGAAATGTGTTCCGTGTGGCCTGCCGCGGAGCCCTCGCCCCCCTCAGTTCCTATCTCCTCTCTCCCCCTCATTCACTCAGGTCCAGCTGTACTGGCTGCCTTGCTGTCCTTCAAACAGGTCCTTGCCTCAGGACCTTTGCACGTGCTGTTCTCTCTGCCTGGGATGCTCTTCCCTTCATTTGGGCACGGCTGCCTCTCACCTTTTATGGGTGTTTACTCAACTGTCACGACCTTTGGGCACCCACTCTAAAAAATCATACCACCCCCACGGCTCTTTCCCTGTCCTACCATTACAGTGGCCTTCCCAGCCCTTACCTGCAACACACAGTGTAGTTTACCGACTTTGTTGGCTCACAGATGAGCAGGATAGCTCTCCGAGGGCAGATGTCTGTTTCTCATCTGAATCTCCAGTCCTTAAAACCAGCCCTGGCACGTAATGGGTACTTAGTGAGTAGTGCCTGAATAAATGCGTGGGAATGGGGCTCCAGAGGCTGGAGAGGCAGACTGTTCCTTTTCCATCGGCTGGTCTCACTTGCGGTGACTTTTCTCCCCCAGGTACTCCACCATTTACACCATGTTTCCCGTATTTTCTCTGGTCCTGGACAAAGACGTCAAGTCAGAAGTTGCCATGCTGTATCCTGAGCTCTACAAGGATCTTCTCAAGGTTCAGTGAACTCCTCCTTCCCTTCCTCCTCCTTCTCTCCCTACTTTCATTTCACACAGACCCTCCATTTCCGGTTTGAACACACGGATTTCAACGATTTGAACTGGTGGCGGCTTTCTTGAGAGGAAGGAGTACGGTTTTACATTCTTTTTTCTTAAAAAAGCCATATGTATGCTCCTAGAGAATATTAAACTGTACAGTAATATGTAAACTGAAAACTTAAACTAACCAACCAAAAACTTAAAAAAAAAAAAAAAAAAGAGCCTCTGACAGTTCCATTCTGCCACTGAGGCTCGTGTCTGCTCCTGGAAGCATTTTTGTGTATGCTTCTAAAAAGTGTGTGTGTGTGTGTGTGTGTGTGTGTGTGTGTGATTTCGTTTATTTGTCTTCAGGGAGTTTTACTGAAGGGCAGATTTATTCCCACCGAGTATCAATTGTCTTTTAAACGTGTAATTTCTTAAACATGTCCAGACATGTGCGAGACGCTTTTTTTTTTTTTTTTTTTTTGATGAAAACAGGCAGGTTGCCTTGTTGGTGGCAGGGAAGCGTGGGCAGCTGACACCCTGGGTGAGCCACACACCATAACCTGCTCTTTCTCGTTCTCTCGTTTAGGGAAGACCGTTGTCCTACAAGACCTTCTTAATATGGGTTTTGATTAGCATCTATCAAGGTGAGAAAAGTCACACCAGCTGTGGGGTTACGCTGGGGGTTCTGTTGTCCGTAGAACACAAAGAAGCTGGAACCCTGAAACTGAGTTAAGGGGCGGGACGGTGCACCCCAAGGGGGGCCCTACCCGGCATTTTGTAAGGACCAGAACATTCAGCACGGTGATAGATCTGTGAGGAGGTGCTGTCTGCTTCAGGAGACAGACTCAGAGAAAAATACAACGAACACCAATCACAACCTGCTGGGGTGTGCAAGCCACTGTAACAAAAAGCGGTTGCTTTCTGGCATGTTCTGATACTTTTTCTCAGGTCCTTATAGTTTTTGAGAAATGTGTCTGCTTCACTGGCCTCCAGGGAGGGTCTCTCAGACTGCAGAGACACTTTGTAGGATGACTTTTAAGTGTAGGAGGAGAAACTACCAAAACCCCTGTTGGTGTTTATTTCTATTTTTATGCGTGTTTTATAATATATGTAATTGTGCAGTGGTCTTAATATCCATCTACGTCTGCCCAGGTACAGACGTCTACTTTACAAATGTACATTGTGTGTTGTGGGGGGTGATCTTACCGATGGCATGTGCAACCAATAGGTGTAGATACTGTTAAAATTGTTGGCAGGAAGTTAAATTATCAGTGAAAAAAAAATCGGGGGGAGGATTTTTAAGAAGTACGTCAAAGTATAATATACGCATTGATTTTTGCAGCCACCTTTTGTATGTAAAAGTTCATAAATCAGGAGCACTGAAGCCCCATTTCACCCCTTCATCCTGAACCCCTGGCATGATGGGCAGTCAGTCGCTTGAGGAGTTTTGGGGTTGAGCATCTCCTGGCTCTGCCTCTGTGTAATATTCTTGTGCTGTCAGATATTTGAGCTGTGTGTGAGCACCATCTACCTTTCTGCTGTGCTAGAAAGACACGTATCCGTTCCCTCTCCCACTTTCCTTTCTTGCCTCCTTATAGGTACAGGATGCTCTGAGTGTCTCTGGGTTACCTCTGGCATTGTGTGTGTGTGTGTGTGTGTGTGTGTGT